GGTTGACTAAAGAATATTTTTAGGAAAAAGAACAGAATTTTGAACATTAGGGTGCGCATTAAAATCAAAGTCAACATCTGTTCCTTGCCTAATTTGTCGCTGGTGTAACTAGTATAACTTTGATAGTCTAAATTATTCTTATATAATACCGCTGACGGATTTCTATTTAACTTTGATGTGCATCTTTTACTTCTTACTACAGAATACTCATATCTTTTATCTCTACCTCCAAAACATCCTTTTCTTTGACTAAGCTGGTCTTTGAAGAAAGCAATATCTTTGTCTTTACCTTTTCTAATCTTATCTTTTAATGTTTTTTCAAACATAAAAGTTGAAACTGCGCTAAAAGAAACAACTTGTATACTATACAAATACTTATGATTAGTATTTCCTAGATAATTATAAAATATATTTTATAGACCAATTGCAGTTTTTTTTTTTAACCTTGGTCTATTTTTATAAAATTTGGTTTTATTATGACAGCATTTGCTACTTACAGTTGTGTTAATAAATGGACTTAACGTATGGCAAAAGTTGAAGTCTTTGGTCTTGAAAATGCTTGCATTGCACTCCTAAATTTGTCCTTAACCTTAAACTCTTAACGATGGCCTTGTTCTTGGGTTTGTAACTTTTGACCATGGTCTTGACCTTGGCCTTGTAACGCGTGGTCTTAGCCTTGGCCTCGGTCTTGATACTTTTGGCCTCGCTAACAACTCTGCCTGTCGGTTCTTTTTAAAGATGGATTCTTCCCTCCTCCCCCCCATCTCCCTCATTTTATTTGTAAAATTGCCTCTGACTGAATGGCGTTCAACTGTTGCTTTTCTTTCGAAACTAAAAAGGGGAAAAGAATTTGGAAAGTTAAAAATAGTAAGAATTGCTAATTGTAGTAAACGCTCTTCCATTATTTAAAGAATAAAATATTGCATTTTCAAAACTTATATCTTAAAATTTAGCAGAAAAAGAAAATACTAGAATATTAATTTCATAATCTTTTAATAAAATAAAATAAGTTTTAATATACAACATATTGATTAACTTGCCATTTTCCGCCTAAAGGAAGACTAACAAATGAAATACCTTTACAGTTTTTTTTCTCTTATTTCCACAGTTTATAGCAGTTTATAGTTATAGTAATATAATTGTTTTAATTAAGATCTAAATTCTTTTAAATACATACAAATGAAATTAATCACTACATAATATACTTTCCGTGGTTCGGCTGGACATCCCAGAAAAATTTTCAATAAAATTACATCACGTTATATAAAATTATGCCACAATTATAAAAAAAAATCTTTGATTAAATAAAAATTTAGTGCAATTTTTTGTTTCTATTGTCAAAGAGTAGTAGTAGTTTTTTGTTTTGAGTAGTAGTAGTTTTTTGTTTCTATTGTCAAAGAGTAGTAGTAGTAGTAGTAGTAGTAGTAGTAGTAGTAGTAGTAGTAGTAGTAGTAGTAGTAGTAGTAGTAGTAGTAGTAGTAGTAGTAGTAGTAGTAGTAGTAGTAGTAGTAGTAGTAGTAGTAGTAGTAGTAGTAGTAGTAGTAGTAGTAGTAGTAGTAGTAGTAGTAGTAGTAGTAGTAGTAGTAGTAGTAGTAGTAGTAGTAGTAGTAGTAGTAGTAGTAGTAGTAGTAGTAGTAGTAGTAGTAGTAGTAGTAGTAGTAGTAGTAGTAGTAGTAGTAGTAGTAGTAGTAGTAGTAGTAGTAGTAGTAGTAGTAGTAGTAGTAGTAGTAGTAGTAGTAGTAGTAGTAGTAGTAGTAGTAGTAGTAGTAGTAGTAGTAGTAGTAGTAGTAGTAGTAGTAGTAGTAGTAGTAGTAGTAGTAGTAGTAGTAGTAGTAGTAGTAGTAGTAGTAGTAGTAGTAGTAGTAGTAGTAGTAGTAGTAGTAGTAGTAGTAGTAGTAGTAGTAGTAGTAGTAGTAGTAGTAGTAGTAGTAGTAGTAGTAGTAGTAGTAGTAGTAGTAGTAGTAGTAGTAGTAGTAGTAGTAGTAGTAGTAGTAGTAGTAGTAGTAGTAGTACCATATTAATAATTTATGCATTTAAAACTTAATAGTAATTTTTATTATTTTTCAGTACCACATCATTTCGAAACTAAATGGAATCAAATCAAGAACATTGTCATGACTTTGACTTTTTTAAAGGTAACTTTCATTTAAAGGCCGATTTTTTTTTATTCAATGTTTCAAAAGTTACATTATTTATTTAACATATAGTATATATCACAAAAATTTACCTGAATAAAATTAAAAGATTTTAAAATCCTTAAAAAATTAACAATAACATTTATATAAAAAACTGAATACTTGCTTTTAGTGGTCGTAGTAGGCGTTATTTATATGCAGCGTATCATAAAAAAAACTTATTGACAGTTATCTATTTGTATGTATACAAAATAAGTATGATCATTTAACTAAATAACATTAAATATTAACTTTTATAACAATATAACAAAACTAACTTTTAAAAGCTATTCTTTTTTGAAGCAATATAAATAATAAATACCGTAGATGGGGGTAACTAAAGCCACTTTCGAAATTCAAACTTCTGTCCAAGTCAGACCCTTTAATTTATAAGTTAAATAAATATTGCAAAATTTGGGTCTGTGGTCATATATTAAAGAAATATATTCATGAACTGCAGAAATATACATTTTTTTAATAAAAAAAAAATGAAAACATGGTGGCTTTAGTTACCCCTGGAAAAGGGGTAACAAAAGCCATCCATTAAAAAGCTATGTTTGGCTTTAGTTAGAGAGTGCTAGGGTAACTAAATCCATAAATCATGCATCTGTAACAATAAAGAACCACTATTGACAAGAAAAAAGCTTTATTATTTAAGAAAAACATTAAAAAGAGACAAAAATATTATTTAAAATAGGTCTTGTTGCTTTACCAGTAGTTCATAAGGAAAAGTATAACGTCCTCTGTTTACTTTGGATGGTTTCACAATTGAAATAACGTCTGTTAACTGAATGTCCATTTCGTCATCATCATTTGGAAATATATAGTCATTTCCTTTTGATTTGGAGCTTCTTCTGAAAAACTTTACTGTAACTTCGTTCTTCTCAAAACAAGTTCTAAGAATGACTCCATAGAACTGTTTGGTGATTTCTTTTTTTGTGTTCTTATCAAAGATGAGCTCAACAATGACGTAAATATCAGGTTTAAGTTCTCCTTTAGAGACTCCTATTTTGGGGGGTTTGTCATATGTTGTTTCTTCTAGTTGTAGATCTACTGGTATCTCTGATTCCCGGTCACTAAATGTTTCTGGATCCATATCTGAATTAGAGTCTCTCAAAGAATACTGGTCATCACTATCATCAAATGAGTCGGAATTCGCAAGTTTCTTATTATGTTTCAAAGTCTTTAGTTTGCTGTGGTTTTCCTTTGTTTTGGTATTGGGTGTATTGGACCTATTTGATTGAGAATTATCATAATTGATCAGAATTGTGTCTTCAATCCCTTCAATCATCTTTCCTGCTGGGACATTAAGTTTCCTTTTCTTCCGCTGTTTAAGAGGTTCGGTCTCTCTCTTCCTACTTTCTTCAAAAAAAGCTTTGATAGAATCAGTCCAGTTGTTGCTTGAATTAAGCTCTTCAGATACTGCATTGGCATCACCATCAGGAAGCCTTTTCAGAATTTCGTTTCGGTCTAAAGGTACAATACCAGCTGCCTTAAATCCACTTTTTAAGTTTTTGCTTATGTTTTCCTCTCCCAAAGCATTAAGACCCTTTTTCAGAAGTCTTGAAAACCTGTTTTTTGGAAAAGAGCCACGATTAGCCTCTTTCCACTCTGTCAAAAGCCACCTTTATGATATGGCTTTAGTTACCCCATGTTGTGTATCACTGAAAAAAAAACATCACAACAAAAATAAGAATCAGGTTATAGGTTATAACCTTTAAAGGTGAGATGAAACATAAATTGAGGTTATGTTTGTTGAGAGTTATGAGAATTTAAGATTAAAAATGATTTGTTCAGAGCAGAAGTTATGCAAGGTAACTTTTTTATCGATTTTTTAGGTTAAATATATAGTTTTACTGTACACTTACCGTGATATTGTTTTCATAAGACAAGTATTTGGAAAGCAGTCCAAGTTCCTATTAGAAGAACACAATATCAGCTGTTGAATCCAAACATTACCTGCTATAATGGCTTTATTTTCACCGTAGGCTTTAGTTACCCCCATCTACGGTAAGCTGTATAAATACTTTTTTTTTTATTATTATTATTTTTTTACAGTTTTGTAACTCAAGCTTCTAAATGAAAACGACTTTAAAGCCTCTGAAAGCTTCAATCTTTTTTGTCATTAAGTTTTGGAAGCTTTGACCTTTTTTACATCAAACTTCTCAGAACAAAACACCTCCTAGTGGGATTAGGCTTGGATCTTAGAAACCTTGTCAAAACAGATTATGTTGTGGTCTTTATTGAGACAATTTAATTGAAGAATTTTTAATTTCTCGTTCCTGCATTCTAGAGCTTCCAAATAAAACATTCCAATCGGCAGGTTATTTGAATTTGTCACTTAATGACTGTTAATAACTTTTTTGTGCATAGAGAAAACTTGTAATACCGGTGGTTATGCTTTTAAAAAAAAGCTTGGAAGTGATTTAACACAAAACTTGAATAGATTAAGTTTAATCTTCTTTTCAGAAGTCAGAACGCGAAGCTATTTCCTCTATGCCTAGTACTACAATATATTTTTAATAATCTTAGTAATTGATTTAAGCAAAGAAATAATTATGCACATCCCCGCAGCGACTCTTAATGATTTTTTTTTAATTGATTTCATAAATTCTTGGAAACTTTGAAAAATCAGGCCCGAGGGTCCTCTACAATCAAGAAGACTGCTATTTTTTTAATAAACTAATAAAAAACAAAAACAAAAAAAAAACACTTATAACAAGGAAATTAATAAGCCGATTAGACCTATGACAAAAAGACCTATGGTTGATCTTAGCACTGTGTTCCCTAAACCAAGCTTACTGAAAGACCGTTCTCCTTAGGCGATGTAAACAGGAATTGTGGTTTCGTTCATGTAGTTCTCATTTAACAGTTTTATCAAGGTAACAACGGCTTCATAGCCTCAAAGCATGTACTCCATCGGGATTGCATAACATAATGAAGAGACATACTATTTGTTTCGGTAAAGGTTTTCTTTGAAATAGGACTTCCAATAAAAATGAAGTAAAGTAACTTAACCCGAAAAAAATAGCTCTTTGCTTAAATAGAAGATTCATCGGGATGAACACCAGCAAAGTTAAAATTATAAGCTTGAGGATTCTTTATAAGTATGATGGCTTGATCTCTTTTATACACACTAGACATTTTTGCTCCGTTGTCGTACTTGGATCTCGGTAGTTTTTTAAATTGGTATAATTTTGATCCAAGACATCAGTAAATGTTCGCAGCTTTCATTTTTTCGAATTTTTTTGATTCTGAGAAAACGCTCTTTAACTACACACCTTTTATAAACACCATAGTTGATAAGCTGAAAAAGAAAGGTAATTTTCTCAGTATGAGAGATATCATGTGGTCCATCAACGAGAATGGAATAGTAAATGGGTCTTTAATGATGGTACCGTGGACGAATACTCCACACTCTTTGATTAACTCATTTTAACTCCAACCAATATAATGGGCCGTATTTTTTCAACATCTTGTTGGAAGCGGGAAGTTTGTTCTTAGTTGTAACTAATTAGTCTTGCTGTGCTTTTCAAGTAACTCTAGCTTAGCAAGAAATCTGTCGTTATCATGATCATTAATCTGTTTTGATAAGCATGACACAAGGATTATAATTACACATATAATTCACAATTTTTTTGTAAATTGTAATATATAAACAAAAATGTAAATACAAGTATAATAGCTAACATTCAGAAATGCACCTCTTAGTGGATACTGAACCTAAAAAAGAAGTCTTTTGAATGTTCAAAAGACGTCCTTAACGTTCAAAAGACGTTCAAAAGATGTCTTTTTTACGTCCCGCGCGCACTGTGCTCTAAAGCTAAGATTGCGTGATGCTAAAAAGGGAGTTACACCTAATCTACACTGCAGAAGTTCACGCCACCAGGCTGCCTCATCTCTTATTGACTTTTCAAGATTTGAATTAATCCCACACCAAGTTGCCAAAATTTCTAACGCTGTTTTCCGCTTCCATTTTGATTTAAGTAACATCTTATTGTACAGGTTTTGTAGAAAAAAAAAGTATTTTGAGAAGATCTTGTTATAACTACTCGATTGCGTTCTACTCAATACAAATTTTTAGTCCACAAAGCAGGATTATTGGTGGTAAATAACTCATCCATTGGCATTTTCTAATATTTTAAATAAAGAGATAAAATATTAAAAACCCATATTTTTTTTCACAACTTAACAACAATTAATAAAACCAAAATTTTGTTTTTATTTTCAACTTTTGTATAACAAAATCTTCAAGCGCATGTTATTTATTGTTCTTTTGCTTTAATTTATTTGCACCGTTTTTTCTGCACTGAGAGCCAGGTTCTTTTTTCTTGAAACTCAACATTTTGTTTTAAATGTAGCCAAGAAACCTTAACCAATTAATAACATTTTTAATACTCTTTTATAAAAAAGAGAGCTCAATATAAATTTAAAAGTTTATACCGTTTCTTTTACTCATTCCAGAAAGAAAAATTTAAGTATCGAGCTTGAATGTAAAAAACTTATAAAGTTATTTTTTAAATATATATTTTATATATACATTTTATATATATATATATATATATATATATATATATATATATATATATATCCTAATATAGAATGGACAGATGATGGTCCAATAATTCATTCAAATGGAAACTCAATTGAACATGAATTTATTAAAGTTTTAAATGATTGTTCTCTATACCAAATCGTAAATTTTCCAACATTCAAACAAAATGACTCTGTTTCAGCAGTTAACACCCTTGATCTTGTTTTAGTTTGCAATCCAAATTGCATTGATTTTCTTCAATGTGGTCCACAGTTAGGCCACTATGAAAAGAGAAGATACCATTACTCCATCACTTGGCAATATTTTACTAGTCTTAGTAACAATACAGTACTCACAAAAGATAAGTTTTGCTTTAAAAAAGGTAATTTTTTTTTCAAATGAATAAATACTTGAAACAAGTCAACTGGGTTGAGCATTTTTATAACAAATCAACCTGTGAGTGTTATAAGTTATTTTTGCATACATATAATGAATCTTGTCGATTGTTTGTTCCTATTCTGAATAATAAAAAAAAGAATAGTCAACCCTAGTTGGATGCAAAAGTTAAAAAAGCAATAGAGATTAAACATTCTATGTTTTATTCAAATTTGCATCGGCAAAGTCAAGAATCTTGAAAGGCTTTTAACTAAATGTGTGCTAATGTTAAAAAGCAAATCAAAAGATCAACTCGAGAATACGAAATGGATTTAGTAAAGAGAGCAAAGGTTGCATCAAAACTTTTATTCTCATACGTAAACAGAAGACAAAACATTAAAACGCAAATTAGAGCAATCAAGAACAAAAAAGATCAAGTTACAACTAAGATATCAGACATTTCAGATATATTAAATAGGCAATATCAGTCAGTCTTTGTTAATGATAATGACCAACTAATATCCGAATTCTTGCAAAGATGCAAAAACCAGTGCGATTGCAGTAAATTATCTAACATGATTACCTATAAAAAAATTCTCAAAATGTTAGAAGGTATAGATAAATTAAAAGCGATAGGTTTTGATGAAATTAGTCCGTTTGTTTTAAAGCATGCTGCAGAAGGTTTCGTGGACCCACTTATTCATAATTTCAAATTAAGCTTTGACACTTGATGTGTCACTTACCACTGGTCTGTTACAAATATATCACCAATTTACAACGGGGGATCAAAACTTGAACCAGAAAACTACATACCAGTATCCCTAACATCTGTGATTTGTAAAATGTTCGAAATGCTCATTCGGGACACAATTCTGCAACATTTAGTTTCAAATAGACTTATATTTGAGGAGCAAACTGGTTTTGTTCCAAACAAATCATGCACAACAAATCTTATTGAGACAATTGACACAATTACATTTGAAACTGCAAAAGGTAAACCGTTTCGCGTCATATATCTTGACTTCGCAAAGGCTTTTGATAAAGTAGAACACAAAAGATTGTTGACAAAGATTAGAGCGTATGGTATAACTGGCAAAATATACAACTGGAATGAAGTTTTCTTGCAAATAGGAAACAAAGAGTTGCTATTAGTAATACAGTTTCAGAATGGGTATCAATTACCAGTGGCGTGCCTCAGGGTTCCGTTTTGGGTTCAATGTTGTTTCTGCTATTCATAAATGACCTCCCAGAAGTTGTGCTAAACACATTTAAAATGTATGCTGATGATAGCAAAATAATAGCCATAGAAGATTCCATTGATAAACAAGCGGAAATACAACTTTCCATTGATAAACAAGCGGAAACCGACCATGACAACATTGTGAAATGGTGCAACAATTGGGGTATGGAACTAAACTGCAAAAAATGTAAGGTGATGAGATTCGGCAATCAGAAAGTTTTTCGAGGTATTGATAAAACATACACAAGAAATATAAATGAAATGATTTATGACCTCTCAAACAGTGTATTAGAAAGAAATCTAGGTGTCTTTGTACAACCGGATATGAGCATCAAACGCAAGTATGTGTTAATAAAGCTTCAAAAATACTGGGGTTATTAAAAAATGTCTTTAAAAGTAGAGATTGTTATATGTGGAAAATTTTGCATACCACTTATGTTCGAATCCATTTCTTCACAAACAGAGATTGCCAAATTTGGAACAAACTTCCGGAAAAAGTTGTTGATTCCAAGAATTTGAATAGTTTTAAAGCAAGTTTAGACGAATGGCTAAAGAAAAATAAGAAAATATTAATTTAAAAGAAAAAGAAAAAAAAAAGTACTGGGCTGCTATAGCTGAACGTTACAACGTCTCAGCTTGTGGATCCACGCAGTTTACCACTAACTAACTAACTATATATATAAATATATATACATATATATATATATATATATATATATATATATATATATATATATATATAATTATTTTTTTTTTATTATTTTACATTTGTTGGTCGTATTACAACTATATATTGCCAAAATAAATAAATAATAATGATAATAATAATAAACTTTCACAAATATAAAATAAGCTATCTGAAAGAAGATCAAAGGATCTTGTCGTCAGAACCTTAAATAAGTTCAAACAAGCATTAACAGTATCAAATTTTTACAAATTTCATATATATATAGTCCAAATATATATTATATAATCCAAAGAGAGATCACGCGGATCTACTCACCAAAATTTTATATAAACGTATACGTTAAGTTAAGAATATAAAATCAACAAAATAAGTAAGAATAAAATTTTTACAAATATAAATAAGAAAAGGCAAAGTTATTAATTATATTATTAATAATAACATAATACGTCTTCTAATGAAAAAATTAGGGTTTTTAATTTACTTTTTAAAAAACAAAAAGTAATGGGTAGTTCGAAATCAAAATTGGGCAAAACAATTTTGTTCCAAAGGTGTGGTGCCCGATAGGCAATACAAAATTGATTAAAGTTGGTTTGACAGACAGGTTCATTTAAAAAATCAGTATTGCTCAAATTGTATGTGTTGATGGGTTTTGGAGTAAAAATATCTTTGAAGACAGATTGAGACAAGTCATTTTTCCACATGTATACAAAGCATAAAACAATATATATATATAGCTCGTATATATTTAAAATTCTCATTTCAATAAAATAACGTTTTGCGTGAGAAAAGCGATTTGCAAAGCAGATTAAACGGATAGCATGTTTCTGACGGCGATAAAGACATTGCAACTTACTTTTTTCTGTACTACCCCAGGCGATATTAGCATAATTTAAATAACTGTGTATAAATGAATAATAAAGTTTGATTAAAATTTTCTTATTGAGGTAGATTCGTTCTTTATATAAAACTCCTATGTTTTTTGAAATTTTAGTGCTTATGTAGTCGATATGATGATTCCAAGTGATGTTTTCATCAAGATAATCACCTAAAAATTTTGTTACGGAATCCCTTTTTATTTCATTTTGATCAATAAAAATTTTAGGTAAGTTTAATGGCAAATACCGTTTTTTGGAAAACGAATGGAATAAGGTCCACTTTGTTTTATTAGAATTTAGAGTTAACTTATTACATTTAAACCAACTCGATACATGTATAAGCTCTTTGTTTATTGTTTTAAAAAGTTCAAAGATATCACTGTTAGAAAGAAATAATTTAGTATCATCTGCAAACATAATACTTGTTATTTTAGAGGCTTTATTTAAATCATTAATTAAATTAGAAAATTTAAATCATTTAATATAAATTAGAATTATTTAAACCATTAATATAAATTAGAAAAAAGAGTGGACCTAGAGTTGAGCCTTGTGGGACTCCACATGTTATGATAACCGTCATTACTCAAAACAAATTGTTTACGATTTGACAAATAGCTTTCAAACCATTTTAAAACTTTATTTTTAATTCCACAGTTTGTAAGTTTATAGATTAGAATTTGGTGATCAACCGTATCAAGCTTTTGATAGATCAATAAAAAGTCCTAGAGTATATTGTGAATTTTCAAATGATTTTGAGATTTCACGTACAAATTGGATAATTGCATTTTCAGTTGAGCTATCCTTTTTAAAACCGAATTGATTAATGTTAAGTAATTTATTAACATAAAAATATTTGTATACTCTGTTATATATAATTCTTTCTAAAATTTTTGAAATTGTGGAAAGAACAGAAATAGGGCGATAGTTAATAATAATTGATTTATTCCCTTCTTTAAAAATAGGAATAATTTTGGCAATTTTTAACAGTTCGGGGAAAACACCTTGATGGATAGAAGCTTTAAAAACTTTAAAAAGAACAACTTTTAGCTGTTCAAAACAATCTATAATAACGTTTCCATTTATTTTATCTGCTCCAATTGCTTTATTTTTTTTTAAGGAATATATATATATATATATATATATATATATATATATATATATATATATATATATATATATATATATATATATATATATATATATATATATATATACATATATATATATATATATATATATATATATATATATATTTATATATATATATATATATATATATATATATATATACATTTATTAAATATATTATATATATTATAATATGTCTGTAATCAGGAAAATAAAATTTCATTTGCCGTTAAAAAGAACATTTGTTTTTAAACTTAGTTGACTCTTTTCAACTTAATTAAAATAAAATCAACTAATTTTTTTGACAAGTTTTTATTAACATGGTTGCATCAAAATAAAGTAAAGTTTACAAAAAAAGTTGTAAAACAAAAACTATGAAAAAATCAAAATTTTAAAATACGTTTTAATAGGAAATATTTTATTTTAAGCAAAGATATAATCTGTTTAAAAAAAAAAAAAATTGATTAAATTAAACTTTTTTTTTCGTTTATAAGTTTTTAAGTACATTGAAAGATGTATTCTCTTGAGTAACAATAATTAATTTCTGTTTTACAAATAATCATGTTTTCAAAGAACTTCGAACAAAATGTTTAAAGATTTATATTTTGTAAACTTATAAAGTTGTTATAGTATTTATATTATAAACTTTGTTTTAGACCATTTTTTTTAAACTAGTATAGTTATATATATTTTTTAACTTTTATTTATAGATTTTTTAAAAATAACGCTTTGCATTTGAAAAACCTGAATTATTAAATAGATAAATAATAACACCGTATAATGAAATAATAAAATGATTATTCATAATAGTAACTACATGTTTAATGTTAGGTGTTCAACGCGACAAACTTCTTCACGAAATTCATTGTCATTTTTCACAAGATATACTAAAGTCGGCTTTAGTACTATATGGAATGTCAGGTGTTGGAAAGACAAAAATTGCCAAAAAATACTGTGAAATTTATTCTGACTTTTATAAAAACATTGTCTGGATAGACGCAGCATTTGGAAAATTACAAACTTCTATAAGAAATCGTTGTCAATCGTTAGGATTTCTTGTTCATGATTCGGTAGGTGAATATTTTAACATGGAAGTAATTGTTGATAAAATTCACAACTATTACATAAATGAAAAAACTTTGTATATTTTTGACAATGTCGACGATGAAAGTGTTAAAGGTTTGAAAATGTTCATTTCAAGAAAAGCGAACTCGTATACTTTAATTACCTCGCAATGGAGAACTTGGTCAAACAATGTAAATAAAATCTTTGTTGATGTTTTTTCTTCTGAAGATGCATTCGCTTATGTTAAAAATAATATTAAAGAATACACCGATGAAAATATAAAAAGCTTAATCAAAGAACTTGGTTATCATCCGTTTGCTATAACGCAGGCAATAAAATATATAAATATACATAAAATTTCGATAGAAAAATATATTGATCGATATAGAAAGAAACCCCTAGAAATATTAGACACTGATAACTTTCCTACTGAAGAAGAATCAAAGTCTGCAATAAAAGCAATCAATTTAGTTTTATTCAAATTAAAAAAAACTAAACTTATTCCATTAGAAATACTAAACTGTTTATCTCATTGCGATGGTCAAAATATAAGTAAAGAATTTATAATCCAAATCTTAAATCAAATGGAAATAAAAGAAGAACATATAATAGATGAAACTCTTGGATTACTAACAAGTTATTCGTTGATAAATTGTTTCGATGATAACAAATATTCAATGCACGAACTGACTCAGTTGACGAGCAAATATTTTCAAAGTAAAAATTCAAGTTCAAATACTTATCTTGATCTAATAGTAAATTATTTTAAATTTGAGTTGAACCAAGTGAAGGATCACATAGAATTCGGAAATTATTTCGTTTTTCATTTCCTCTATGTGTTTCGGATTAACGAAAAAACAATGTCAAAAACCTTCCATAATATGACAACTTCTATTAAAGAGTTATTAGTATGTAAAGGTTTATTTGATGAAGCAATCGAAATATTAAAAGCTATTCAAAGTTTTAACACAGAAACTTATGGTGAAAATAATAAACACACGCTTGATACGAAACATAATATCGCAAGCTGTTTGAAGAGTATGGGAAAATATAACGAAGCTTTAGAAATTTATTATTCTGTTGAGAAAATACAAACTGAAATTTTAGGTATCAACCATCCAGATACAATAAGAACAAAACATAGTATCGCAAACTGTTTGGACCATATGGGAAAATATAACGAAGCTTTAGAAATTTTTTATTCTGTTGAGAAAATACGAACTGAAATTTTAGGTATCAACCATCCAAATACAATAGGAACAAAACATAATATCGCAATCTGTTTGAAGAGTATGGGAAAATATAACGAAGCTTTAGAAATTTGTTATTCTGATGAGAAAATACAAACTGAAATTTTAGGTATCAACCATCCAGATACAATAAGAACAAAACATAGTATCGCAATCTGTTTGAAGAGTATGGGAAAATATAACGAAGCTTTAGAAATTTATTATTCTGTTGAGAAAATACAAACTGAAATTTTAGGTATCAACCATCCAGAAACAATAAGAACAAAACATAATATCGCAATCTGTTTGTACGATATGGGAAAATATAACGAAGCTTTAGAAATTTATTATTCTGTTGAGAAAATACAAACTGAAATTTTAGGTATCAACCATCTAGAAACAATAAGAACAAAACATAATATCGCAATCTGTTTGTACGATATGGGAAAATATAACGAAGCTTTAGAAATTTATTATTCTGTTGAGAAAATACAAACTGAAATTTTAGGTATCAACCATCCAGAAACAATAAGAACAACACATAATATCGCAACCTGTTTGGACGATATGGGAAAATATAACGAAGCTTTAGAAATTTATTATTCTGTTGAGAAAATACAAACTGAAATTTTAGGTATCAACCATCCAGAAACAACAAGAACAAAACATAATATCGCAAACTGTTTGAACGATATCGGAAAATATAACGAAGCTTTAGAAATTTGTTATTCTGATGAGAAAATACAAACTGAAATTTTAGGTATCAACCATCCAGATACAATAAGAACAAAACATAGTATCGCAATCTGTTTGAAGAGTATGGGAAAATATAACGAAGCTTTAGAAATTTATTATTCTGTTGAGAAAATACGAACTGAAATTTTAGGTATCAACCATCCAGAAACAATAAGAACAAAACATAATATCGCAATCTGTTTGTACGATATGGGAAAATATAACGAAGCTTTAGAAATTTATTATTCTGTTGAGAAAATACAAACTGAAATTTTAGGTATCAACCATCTAGAAACAATAAGAACAAAACATAATATCGCAATCTGTTTGTACGATATGGGAAAATATAACGAAGCTTTAGAAATTTATTATTCTGTTGAGAAAATACAAACTGAAATTTTAGGTATCAACCATCCAGATACAATAGGAACAAAACATAATATCGCAAACTGTTTGGACGATATGGGAAAATATAACGAAGCTTTAGAAATTTATTATTCTGTTGAGAAAATACAAACTGAAATTTTAGGTATCAATCATCCAGATACAATAAGAACAAAACATAATATCGCAAACTGTTTGGACGATATGGGAAAATATAACGAAGCTTTAGAAATTTATTATTCTGTTGAGAAAATACGAACTGAAATTTTAGGTATCAATCATCCAGATACAATAAGAACAAAACATAATATCGCAAACTGTTTGAACGATATGGGAAAATATAACGAAGCTTTAGAAATTTATTATTCTGTTGAGAAAATACGAACTGAAATTTTAGGTATCAATCATCCAGATACATTAAGAACAAAACATAATATCGCAAACTGTTTGAACGATATGGGAAAATATAACGAAGCTTTAGAAATTTATTATTCTGTTGAGAAAATACAAACTGAAATTTTAGGTATCAACTATCCAGATACAATAGGAACAAAACATAATATCGCAAACTGTTTGGACGATATGGGAAAATATAACGAAGCTTTAGAAATTTATTATTCTGTTGAGAAAATACGAACTGAAATTTTAGGTATCAATCATCCAGATACAATAAGAACAAAACATAATATCGCAAACTGTTTGAACGATATGGGAAAATATAACGAAGCTTTAGAAATTTATTATTCTGTTGAGAAAATACAAACTGAAATTTTAGGTATCAACCATCCAGATACAATTAGAACAAAACATAATATCACAATCTGTTTAAGTAACTTTAAAAAAAAGAAAACAAGTTATTTAACATATAGTTAAATGTAATTTTATTTTAAATTTGTATATATAAGTTTTATAATTCTGTTGGTAGAATAAAAGACGAATCTTTTAGAAGTTAGAGAGCCTCCTAAAGTATTTTTTGAATTGAATTAAATTTTTTATTTTATTTATATTAGCATTTTAGTTGTGCAAATTCAAATAAATAGAGAAAGATTGTCATCATAATAATAATAAATAAATGTTTATATTCTTTAAATTTTTGCATTATAAATGATAGCATAAACTAGGTATGTATATATATATATATATATATATATATATATATATATATATATATATATATATATATATATATATATATATATATATATGTATATATATATATATATATATATATATATATATATATATAAATATATATATATATATATATATATACATATATACATATATATATATATATATATATATATATATATATATATATATATATATATATATATATATATATATATATATATATATATATGTATATATATATATATATATATATATATATATATGTACATAATTAAATGTTTCAAGTCTAACTTACAGTTGAACAAATGAAAATGGTTCCCTGAGGAATTAAAAAAAGTATTACTTATATAATACGTAAAATGATATAAAACCTTTTAGTTCTCCTGATAACAATTTACTTTAAAACATATTAAATAATAATTACTGCTATGTTTTATGTTTAATTCGTATGAAAAAAAAATAAAAGTATTTGCGGTTACTTTTTTTTTGTACGAATTATACATTGAACATAACGGATAATTACCGTTATGTTTGTGTGAAGAAAACATGATTTTGACGTTATGTTTTTTTCATACGAATTCATAAGACATAACGATACTTACTTGTTAGGTTGTCAAGATATATAACCTTATGTGTTCTATATGATTTCTCCTTAATGTATTCTATATGATAAAATAACTCTGGGTTTAAAAATTTTTTGAGTAAAAAATATTTTCAGGAGTCCCCAAGACCCTTAAACTTTTAATGGGTCCCTAATGTTATTAAGAAAAAAGTTTTTCAATAAGTATGTCTTGATTGGTCTCAAAAGTAACGAAATTATATAAAAACTCTAAAATAAATTATCATTTCATAAAAAAATAATTATTTTAGATTATAATAAACATAAACATCCTCTTCAATTCGGTTTCACTAAAAGTAGCTCAACCCTAAACGTTGAATTTGTTATTAGTGAAACAATTAAACACTACAACAACAACAACTCTCCTGTCTATCTATGTTCCCTAGATGCTGAAAAAGCGTTTGACAGCTGCAACTGGGACATTCAATGATAAAAATACTCCCTCTGTATATTGTTAATACTATATCGCCATTATACTATGAAAGCAATGCTTCTGTTTCTTATCTAGATTGTAAATCATATCCTTTCTATCTAAGGCAAGGAATGAGACAGAGATCTATTCTCTCGCCTCATTTTTATAACATTTATACTCAAAACCTATTAGAAACTATACAAAACGAAACCGTCGTAGGTATATCAATCAATGGAAACTATACGGGCGTTGTAGCATATGCTGATGGCATTATACTGTTTAGCTACATCCTTTCTGGCCTCCATAAGCTTATTAATATATGTAATATGTACACACACAAACTGCATACCCTGATAAACTGCATAAAATTGAATGCTGACCGAGTTCTTGCTCACCGGAAAAAAGCAAATTAAAAACTGCACAATAACTCTCAACGACCAAAAATAAAACATTATGATAAACTTAATCATCTAGACTTTACATGCTTGATCAATTCCAATGGCGGTATATTTAACCGTTATATTCATCCGTTATATTTACCCGTCATATTATGCGTTTTATTTTTTTGTTCTTAAGCTATTCTTCTGAAGTGGTAACTATATTCATAAAAAAATATAAAAATAAAATTTAATAAATATAAGAATTATATATTTAAAATAAGAAAAATATGAAAGCTATAAAAGTTAAAAATATGAAAGCTATAAAAATCGTAGCAAAATAGTCGGGGAAGTTCCGGTTTGTTTAAATCTCGTCGCCTCAGTATTATCTTGTTTTATGTACAAATGTAATCAATAAAATGCTCTATCTAATATATAAAATAAATATTATATATATATATATATATATATATATATATATATATATATATATATATATATATATATATATATATATATATATATATATATATATATATATATAAATACAATGTTCTACCTGATATATTATATTATATTGAATATTGTATTTATTTATATACAACTTTTTTTTTTTTTTGTATTTATTTTACATATTAGATAGAACATTTTCGAAATATTTTATAGTTAACCATGTCTACATGACGTGTGAAAAAAACTTTTATCTCTATTGGATCACCTTGCGTTAAATGGTTATTCAAATTAAAGCAAAAAAAATATATAGGAAAATTAATTAACCGCTAAAAAGTGCAGATTTTGGCGCGAATTATTGAGTCCTAAAAAATGTTATGCAAAGTCCTTAACAATATGTATTTTAAATTTAAAATGTATTAAATTTGCATATCTTGCCTCTAAAAATCTTGTAAGGGGTCAGAGCTCTTTAAATGCAATTAACCATTTTATAATGATAATACTTTTGCTTTTGCTTTTGTAATACTTTTGCTCACAGACGTTTTTTGAATACAAATACAAGGTTCGCAAATATTATGAAAACAACCTAAATAATGCGTTGTTTAAAAAGCATAAATAATATTTTTACAAATCGGCACCTATAAGTACTTTTGTACTTATAGGTGCCGTTTTTAATCATTTATAATCTTAATGTTTTTTTCCTAACTTTCATAAATGGTAATTTATGAACTGTTTATCTTTTTTATTAAAACTTTCACTAGTTAATTTAAATAATCAATTTCTTAGTTTAGTATAATTTTATAAATGACAATTTTATGTATATAATAATAATTCAAAATTCTTATTCAGATTCTTATTTTTTTCAATCTCATATTTTTTTCAAATATAAAAATATTTCTAGGACTTAATACCAGCTCACAAAAATAAACCAGTTGACCAAATTTGCATTTTTTTGAGAGCAGGAGAGATTAATCATCTGCTTGGAGCTCCAGGAGTTACATCAGGAATAGGACTTAATCAGCTCATAACTATCAAGAGCATTCTGACAGAGTTTGATGTTGCAGATCATATAAGAACTGTTTGCTTTGATACTACTGCAAGCAATACTAGAATGATTCGTCTTTCAATTTACAGTTAATAAAGTTATTGTAAGATAAACAGATTCTTGTTCTTGAAATATGTTTTTGGATCCAGAAATTAAACCTACCCACATTTACAAGCCTGGTGCCATTCATCATGCACGGTTTATGGCTAAGTTCATATACTACCTTAAGATATTGCTTTTTCCTTATTAGACTAATGAGCTTCTGAATATTAATTAGGAAAAGATCACAGAGGTAGAGAGAATGGCAAACTTTATCTCAATCTTTTATGCTCCAAAGTTTTTGACTGTTAAAAAATCAGATACTTCAGCAATCCAGGTTATTTTAGAATTAAGTAGATTACTTTTAATATGCTACTATATTTTAATAACAATGTAGGTTTTTAAACTTTTTAAACCTTTTTAGGACCAACACTTTATATAGCAGATATTCCTCCTGGAGTAAATCGAACTAGCAGCAGCAGAAGTTTTCCATAGATGAGAAAAACATAGTTGGTACTTGCCCTCACAAATACAAACATGTCTGTACCAAATAACATGAAAAAAGAGATAGCAAAAAAGCTGTTGCAATACCCTAGACCCAAGGCCTATGATTTTGAAGGAAAAATAATACTGGGTTTATAAGAAGTAAGGAAGATTTTGACTTTTACGAAGAACCGCTTACCCTTGCAGATTATATTGGTTCTGAGTCTTGACTAGTTTTTGATATTCTTGAACATAATGAGCTGCAAGTCGAGTGGTTTTTGTTCCCTTCTGCTGCATGAAAAGTTGATCTTGATTTCTTAGCTTTTAAAACGTTTATTAAAAATTTGGTGGTTGTAAATGATGTGGTTGAGAGAGCTGTAAAGTCAATTCAAAAAGCAATGCAAATGAAAAGAAGTTGCAAAAGATGCTTTTAGTCAAGAGTAAAATTGATAAACCAGTTTCTCGAACTAAAGCAGCATACAAAAAAAGTAAGTCGTTTTTAAGCCGATGGAGCTGGCTCTATCCAGTGATATTTTTTGACGAATTTGACAGCAGCATTGATATTGTGGAAGATATTGATGTTTAGGAAGGTCTATGGGTCAAGAATGAAGCTCTCAATAATTTAAAAATCTAATTCATTTTTTGAAACATTATTCTAAAAAATTTATATTGGTAAGATTTACTTCCACTTTAATTAAAATAGCTGTCATTTTTTAAATTAAAATGCAAATATTCTAAATTAATAAAACATTGTGTAAGTAGAACAAGTTTGACTCGTTGGATTTAAACAGCAGCAGGAATTCAACTCTATATAGGAGCAGGAGGGGGGTTGCCGATCTAAAATAGGAAGGGGGGCTGTCAAGCTAGGCTTTAAAAACGTCAAAAGTATATATCATAAATCCAGTATATATATTATTAACTAATTTGCATGTTTTTTTTACATCACACTAAGTCACAACAATTTGCGCCAAAATCTGCACTTTTTAGCGGTTGATTGATTTTCCTATTTTTTTTTTTTTTTTGCTTTAATTTGAATAATTATTTGGTGATAATATACATATATATATATATATATATATATATATATATATATATATATATATATATATATATATATATATATATATATATATATATATATATATGTATATATATATATATATATATATATATATATATATATATATATATATATATATATATATATATATATATATATATATATATATATATATATATATATATATATATATATATATATGTGAACTTGAATTTGTTTAATCATAAATCAAAAATTTACAAGCCATTTAAAAAAGAAAAACATAATAAAAGAATAAAGTTTGAATTGTAAACTTTAATGAAGTGGTGCATCATCAGGCACCACTATGATGACATAATTTGTGACACACAGTGTAACCTGGTTAGCTTTGAAAATGCATAAAATCGACTATTAAAAATGTTAGTAGAACTTGCATTGACTACAATCGCTGGTAGCACATTCCAGATGTTAACAACTCGATTAGTAAAATAATTTTTCGTTCCTGACAAGATTTCACAATTTGCCGTGATATATATATATATATATATATATATATATATATATATATATATATATATATATATATATATATATATATATATATATATATATATATATATCTTTAAAAGTCATTTCTTGTTATACGATATATATATATATATATATTTAATATGTAAGTTGATTTTAATAAAAAAGGCAGCGTATAACTATTTTTAAATATATTTTGATGTAAAAATATATCAACGATATTTCGCTGACCTATTGTGGTCAGCGTCATCAGGTAATAATAAAAAACGTTACAAAATAACATAAAAACAAACCGTTTAAAAAGAAGACATTAAAAAGCGTCAAATATAAAAACCAATTAAATATATTAATGACGTCAGTTAAATTTTTGTCAAAATGGGTCCCCAAGTTCTTGTTTTAACCTTATCCCCGTCATCTCGATTTAGAACAACTTCCCCAATACCTATCTCACATCGAACTTTCGCTTTGTTAATCTCCAGAGATTCTCTAATTTTTCGTATCTTGTATTCTTGAACGACTGCCAAGGTCATAGGATTTAGCCAATCAAAGTTACCACGGCATGTTTTGGAATGTTCCGTGGCTCCTGAACTCGACCATTTTTGATTTTTGCAAGCTCTTTGGTGTTCTGCACTTCTTGAAATGATTTTCTTTTTGGTCTCACCAATATATATATTTCCGCATGAGCATTTAAGTTGGTAAACCCCCGGATTTGAGTTCGGAGGTAGTTTAGTTTTGTTGTTGCATAATATATTACTCAAACTAGGAGCTGAAGTAAATATAACTCTGATGTTTTGTTTTTTAAATTCTCTTCGGAGTTTTGGGCCAATAATAGGTATCCAAGGTAGTTTAACAAACTTTTGATTTAACTGATTAGATGTAGTATTTTTTGAAATGCCGTCTAAATAGTTTTTGGTTATTTTAATAAGATTATTTTTATTATAGCCGTTTTCAAAAAATATATTTATGAGGAAATCAATTTCTTGTGAGAGATATTTTTGAGAGCAGATTTGTTTTGCTCGACATAAAAAACCTTTAAAGACGCCAATGGTTATGCTCGGGTTGATGTTGGAGTTTGGTTTTATTTGAACATTTGTTATCGCATCCTTACGGTGTATTTGAAACTCATAAAAACCATTCATTGTATTTGTAATACAAATATCTAAAAAATTAAGTTGTTTTCTTTTGTTTTCAAGTTCAACGGTATATTTTATGGAGGGGTTTTGTTCATTTAAAGCTTTAAGAAATAATTCTTGCTTTTCTTTTGAATCGAAGCGAGCATGGCTATCATCCACATATCTTTTATAAGTTATTGGTTGGAATGAATTAAAAAAGGCTATATCAAGTGCTCTTTTTTCTATACTTTGCAAAAATGCTTCAGCTATGACTACCATCAATGATAAACCAATTGGACCTGAATTAGGTAAAATTCGGATTTTATCTTCGTATAAAAAGTAACATATGCTTAACGATAGTTCAATTAATTGGTGTATATCTATGAGAGTTAATTTAGTCCTAGTTTTCAAATCTTCAAGATCATCGTTCAATATGTTAATAATAACAGGAATTGCTTCATTGATCGGTACGGATGGATATAAATTAATTACATCGAAAGAAACCTGAATTTCATTAGGGTCTATCTTCCATTCTTTAGCATCGTTGACAAAGTTTCTTGAATTAATTAGTCGAGTTATGTTTTTGTTTAATGTTGGTTGGATAATTTTAACCAGATACTCAGATGTTCCATTGATGCGCCTTGGAACTCGAACAACAAAATAAACAAACACAAGCAGAGATTCTTCGACAAAACTGTTCCAAAATTCTAACCAGTTCTTTAAAGTTAAAAATAAAAGATAATTTAACAAAACAACAACGCCTTTCTTTACAAAACCTGAAAAAACATTCACATCTAAAGATATATCCGTTTGACAAAGGAACAGGTTTTGCTTTATTATGCAAAAATGAAGCAAAAGCGAAATTAGAAGAACAAATAAAAAATAGTAAAATTATTGATTACGACCCAACACCCACATTCACTACTAAATTTCAAAAACTATTATGTAAATTAAGAAAACAAGGTAAGTTAGACAATGCTACTTATTTTAAAATGTATCCATCAGATTGCGTTCCACCTAGAATCTATGGAGTGGTTAAAGCACACAAACCGGAAAAAAACTACCCAATGCGTCCTGTTGTTTCCACTATTAACACACCTCCTTATGGAACATCTGAGTATCTGGTTAAAATTATCCAACCAACATTAAACAAAAACATAACTCGACTAATTAATTCAAGAAACTTTGTCAACGATGCTAAAGAATGGAAGATAGACCCTAATGAAATTCAGGTTTCTTTCGATGTAATTAATTTATATCCATCCGTACCGATCAATGAAGCAATTCCTGTTATTATTAACATATTGAACGATGATCTTGAAGATTTGAAAACTAGGACTAAATTAACTCTCATAGATATACACCAATTAATTGAACTATCGTTAAGCATATGTTACTTTTTATACGAAGATAAAATCCGAATTTTACCTAATTCAGGTCCAATTGGTTTATCATTGATGGTAGTCATAGCTGAAGCATTTTTGCAAAGTATAGAAAAAAGAGCACTTGATGTAGCCTTTGTTAATTCATTCCAACCAATAACTTATAAAAGATATGTGGATGATAGCCATGCTCGCTTCGATTCAAAAGAAAAGCAAGAATTATTTCTTAAAGCTTTAAATGAACAAAACCCCTCCATAAAATATACCGTTGAACTTGAAAACAAAAGAAAACAACTTAATTTTTTAGATATTTGTATTACAAATACAATGAATGGTTTTTATGAGTTTCAAATACACCGTAAGGATGCGATAACAAATGTTCAAATAAAACCAAACTCCAACATCAACCCGAGCATAACCATTGGCGTCTTTAAAGGTTTTTTATGTCGAGCAAAACAAATCTGCTCTCAAAAATATCTCTCACAAGAAATTGATTTCCTCATAAATATA